GCGACGAGATGTTAGAGAACTCGATGTTTATGTCGGGCGGTATTGCACTCGTCATCCGTTGCATAACAATTGTGTTTATGTTTTTGGTTTTAAATAATTTTAATAAAGGACTCAAACAGAAAGGTTTTTTGCCAATTATTGCATTTGTTTGCAATTATTTACTATATATTTATTCGCATTATTTTGGTTTAGTTTACGGAAGTGGGGATCAAATCACATGCTCCGAAGCCAATCAACCCATTCGCTCATAATTTGTTTTTATTTGCATTTATTGCTAAATTTCTAACTTTAAAGAGTTGTTATTTAAGACAATTTGTGAATATATTATGTGATAAATCTAGTGTTTCATATATGCAGTGCATATCTCTAATTTTGAATATCAATTATACAAAAATATTATTTATATCACATTTAATGCCATATTTTATATGTAAAAGCTTTTATATCGTGTTTTAATCTCATTTTACTAAATCATGATCAAATGTTATAATTATGATAACATTCTAATTACGCTAATCTCAATATTTTGACAATATATTTTAACTGACATTCAAAATGTAATTTTTTAAAATTTGCTTTTATTTTGACTGTATTTCATAAACTATTTATATATTTATAACATGTATTTCTTAAGACAATTTTATTATTAAATAAATAAAAATTTATAACATTTGAAATAATTTATTAATTTGCTTTCATTGTATTTTTTAGCCATTTTAGAAAATATGAAACTTGTGTATAAACACCGGGAAAGTCATCTAAAAATAAAACACATTTTTAATAACTGTGGCATTCATATTGAGATAAAGCCCTTTACCGGCACACGTGGATCCATAGGAGACAACACCAGTTAAATAGGCCTTTCCTTTGGCTGTAAAAAAATTCATTTAATTTTCAAATCAAGACATAATTGCTGCACATGTTTACCTATTTCTACCATCGGTCCGCCAGAATCTCCCTAATATGAGATACAAATATTGAATTTAGAGACAATTACAGAATATTCTCAAGCATTTTGATGGCATTTGTAACAAACTATAAGCTTATAGGCTATAAGTTATAGCAAATGAAGACATAATTAAGGGACGGGTATGCGATGTGGCCATACCTGACAGGCGTCCTGTTTGTAATTCCAGGTGCAAAGCTGTGACTTATAGAGTGTATACTTTTTCTCTTTGTATTTTGTGGCGCAATCGGCGTCTTTGACCAGATTTAGAGTGACGTCCTGTAGTTTGACGGGAAGGTTGTCGTCGTCGAACTTAACGGCGCCCCAACCGGCCACTATCATCTTCATGGTCGTCGGCTCGTCGTAGCTGTTGTCCGGCAGACACACCGGCTTAACCACGTTTGAGAACTGTATATCTTTGGCCACTTTCATCATCGCTATGTCTGAGTTCAACATTCCGTCCAAATTAAACCTTTCGTGAGTTATCACTACAACACAAATGAACACAAATTTATCCATTATATCGGGCATACAGTATGTGTTGCGATGTTTGCATACCTTTCTTTATCTTATATGTCGGGCCATTGTTTCTGTTGTTAGTGCCGACCCGTATGGCCCACGAAGATGTTTCCGGCGGATCGTCTCTAAAAATGACACATTTTAGTGATATTACGATATTTAATGAGATATTTGTCGATATGATTACAATTACCCCATAAAACAATGCGCGGCCGTCACTATCTGTGTCACACATGAGAACAATTGAATTATAAAAACAAATAATATTGTGGTATTGGGGATGAATACTCACCCATTGGTGGTTAATGATAGAGCCCCCACACCAGGGCTCGCCGTTCTTCAGAATGGCTACAATCCACGGATGAGAGCCTTCGGAAGCGTCGGTTCCGCCCACTATTCGTTCGGCCAAATCGAAACTCTGGCCGCAATTGTTTTGAGACATACTTCGGCCCAAAGCGTCTTTCGGCGACCGTTTCTGCACTCCCGGCGATCGCGACTGAACCCCGTGTCCGACCTTCTCTTCGGCCACTGAGTCTTTTTTCTGACCGATTCCGCGATTGATCTTCATTTGGTGCAAATCCTTGATCTTCAACATCGGTTTCTTCTTGTTTGTTGGCTTATAGTTTGCTATATAGTGCTCGTCCTCTGAATAATCGTCCGAATCCAGGGATCGGAAATATTTCGGCGGCTCTGGTCTGTAAGGCCTGTCATATGGTCTGTAAGGCTTGTCAACTGGTCTGTAAGGCCTGTCATATGGCCTGTAAGGGGTGTCAACTGGTATGTAAGGTTCTGGTCTATAAGACCCGTAATCTGGTCTGTAAGGTGTTTCATGTGTGTAATGTGGTATAGGTTTGGGTCTGTAATAGTATGGCTCATAAGAATGATATCTCCCATAGTCTTCATAGCTGTCCGGTTGATAGTAATCATAGGTTTGGTATACTTCTGAAACTGTTATTAACAGAGAATTAAATTAGTTTAATGTTAATAAATGATACAAATAAATAATGATAAGCACTGACACACGTTTACGTAAATAATCAAGATCCATGGGAAAGACCTGAGAATTAAATTATATGCCATTTGTAAACATTAAGTTAATTAGACATTAATTAAAATGGTTTTCATTTTATATATGTATTTTAAATTGTAATTTTCAAACGCCAATCATTGGTGACGTTAATTAATTTGATTTATATGCATACATAACATTGAACATTTTAATTAATATTTATTTGAATTTTTTACAATAAATTCTTACTGCTATTAAATATTACTAAAAATTACTTTCAATATAATCTATTAATGAAGTATTTTTGTTATTGCAATTTAAGATCATATTGAATTAAAATTTTCATATAATTAATTTATTAATTAACAATTGTTTTTACGGTTCAATTGAATTGACTAATAAAACTTTTAAAAACTTGTGAATGAATTGAAAATGTATGATGTATTGTAAAATGTACATGCATGAAATTTATTGATAAACACTCTTATTATTATGAAATTTATTCAAACGATGGTTATAATGAAGTAGACGTCAAACGTAATAAATAAAAATCCATGACTGCATTCCTACGTGCAATTAATTTGTCCAAACAATTACATGATTTACAGCCAAATATTTAAATTGAAACCTAAATCTTAATTACATTTAGAAGTTTAAGGTAATGATGAAGTGTTTCATGACATGTCTACACATGTTAAATGTTAGTGTTTTTTTTCACTACCGNTGCATTCCTACGTGCAATTAATTTGTCCAAACAATTACATGATTTACAGCCAAATATTTAAATTGAAACCTAAATCTTAATTACATTTAGAAGTTTAAGGTAATGATGAAGTGTTTCATGACATGTCTACACATGTTAAATGTTAGTGTTTTTTTTCACTACCGATTCACTTCATTATAACGAGTGTTTGCTCTACAAAATGCATATAAGAATATACAGTACACCATATGATTGCTCTCAATCACAGACACTATTGAGTGTAGGAATCGTACACTTTCTATACTTAACCCAATTTTAGTGATTTATTTAACGCTCACTTTCTTTTTCGTCTATCTATTAGTGAAT